AACTTGCTTAATTGTTTTTGGTCTCTGTCCCCTTATCTGGATGTAAACTACATGAGGTCAGCATTATGTTGCCTAACTCTTAGTAGGCGAGTTGTAGGTATATTTTGAATGAATGAATATGCTTTTAGGTGCACAGGCACCTGCCTTGCTAGAGTTCATAAACTTTGTGGAGAAGACAGGTAGTGTATACCTTCATGTAACAAATATAACAAATGAAACAGTGCATGTAGAAATATGGTGACTTGGCTGGATGCAGTGGCTCACACCTATAATCCCAGCATTTTGGGAGGCTGAGGCGGACAAATCACTTGAGGTCAGGAGTTCAAAACCAGCCTGGCCAACATGGTGAAACTCTGTCTCTACTAAAAATACAAAATTACAGGCGTGGTGACACATGCCTGTAATCCCATCTACTTGGGAGGCTGAGGTAGGAGAATGGCTTGAAGCTGAAAGGCAGAGGTTGCAGTGAGCTGAGATCGTACCATTGCACCTCCAGCCTGGGCAACAAAAATGAAACTCCGTCTCAAAAAAAAAAAAAAAAAAAAAAAAGAAAGAAAAAGAAGAAATGTGGTGACTTATACCAAAGAAAGGTAATTTAGACTGTGGGTTCCAGGGAGGGCCTTTTTCAACCCAGTAAGTTTAAGTGGAGACCTGAAGGATTTCACAACTCCTTTACCCACTGCTAAATAAGAACCAGCTTTCTTGTGCTTTATGCTACCTGGAATCTCCTTCAGTTTTGACTCCTAGGACAAGATCTTTGGTTCTTGATGGGATATAGAGGTAATGAACCCTTCTAGTGATTTTAAGGCACTCAGTACTTTTTAAGATATATCATAAACAAATAGTCCATTTTAGATCATATTAAATAATAATGCTTCACTCCAGGCCATTTCACCATCGTATTTATTAATGGAACTCAGCATCACAACTGTTCATGCATTCATTTAACTCCCATAAATGTTAAGCTTATGCCATGATCTACTTGACAAATTCCCTTACTCAGTCTCCTCTTTTATGCCAAGGCAGTTAACCTTCATGCTGTTGTGGTTGTTTATTCTACCACTAAAGCACTGGTGAGTTAGAATTTAATTGAAGAGAGTTTTTTCCTCCTCATGTTCCACAATATTGCCAGTGAAGCACTTTCTCAGATGCATTTTTGGGTTGCTATGCTGATGATCTATTTTTAAAGATGGTCTCTTTAGTTATTAATTCAACTCAGTCTTGCCCTTCATATCAAAAATGTCAGTGCCACATGACTGATGGATAAATACTTCATTGCTAGGAGCAGAGCCAAATAAACAATCACAGCTTTCCCTTGCCCTGTTTTATAACCCACTGTAACTGTAACTATCTCTCTATATATTTATTTCATTGCTGTGAAAATTGATGTTTGTTGATTCAAAGTCTAGTTAGGGCTCATCGCTAGGGTCAACTGAAAAGGTCTATGTGTTTGGAGAATCAAATTATAATTTCAACCAGTTTCTTCATCTCTTCAGCAGAAAAATGGGTGTGTGACCAGAATGCACACTACATATTTAGGCTGGAAGGCAGGACTTCCTTATTCCAAAGCTGTAGCCAGGCACCAGAGGACACAAATCAGAGAAGGAATGGGTATTGTTGGAGTCCTCTGTTTTCCAGCCCTCTTTCTTTCTGTGTGATCTTGGACAAATCTCACCTCTCTACACTGCAGTGTCTTCCCTGTGAAACCAAGAGGTTGGATTGGACTATCTGTGGGCTCTGGAAGGTAGCCAGAAAATTTATTGAGGGGGTTGTGGAAATCATGAAAAACTTATTTGGGAAGGTTGCTGGGGGCTCAGTGGGGTAGCTTTTGGTTGCTTTGAAACCAGCGAGAGAGAGAATAGAAAATTGTGCTTACTGTGTAAACAGTTAATAGCACTATCAATTTCTACCTCATTGCCATATAATGGAGATAAGAATCTCATTATTCAGAGACATGCAAATGTAGCGATTCTAGTCTTTACACACGGCCACTTAATCACCATGCCACTCACGCTATGTAATTTGCTCTGTGAACTCAGGCACATAAAAAATGTCACCCTAATCACTGCCAGTCATGGCACCACCGAAGACAGCAGCAGAATAATAGGCATTTGAAAGGGGACATGCTGAGGACTGCACTCTTGCAAGGCAAAAATAGGGAGCCAAACATAATGGCCTCTGATTGGCTTTGCAGAGCAACTGGGTGGAAATTGACATGGCTGCCCCCCAAATGCTGGCAAAGTTTGAAGTTGGCCTTGAAAGGATCAGTCTTCAAACTGGACTAGCAGGATTGGAAATGAGAGCTCTAGGTGGCCTTAAAGGGAGCCATGTCACTCATTTCAACTATACCAGAAATATAGACCTTTCTTTGGCTTAGATCTGTGCTGTGCTGCCCAAGATGGCAGCCACTAGCCACGTATGGCTACTGAGTACTTTTTTTTTTTTTTAGACAGAGTCTCACTCTGTCACCCAGGCTGGAATGCAGTGGTGCAATCTCAGCTCACTGCAACCTCTGCCTCCCAGGTTGAAGTGGTTCTCCTGCCTCAGCCTCCCAAGGAGCTGGGATTACAGGCACTGCTACCATGCCTGGCTAATTTTTTTCTTTTTCCTAGTAGAGACAGGGTTTCACCATATTGGCCAGACTGGTCTTGAACTCCTGACCTCAGGTGATCTGCCCACCTCAGCCTCCCAAAGTATTGGGATTACAGGGGTGAGTCACTGCACCTGGCTGCTATTGAGTACTTGAAATATGGCCAGTGCCACTGAGTGTAAGCATAAAATGCACACTGGATTTCAAAGACTTTGTCAAAAAAAAAAGAAATGTAAATGTAAAAAAGGGATTACAGGTGCAGTGGCTCACACCTGTAATCCCAACACTTTGGGAGGCCGAGGAAGGCAGATCACTTGAGGTAAGGGGTTTGAAACCAGCCTGGCCAATATAGTAAAACCCTGTCTCTACTAAACATACAAAAATCAGCCAGACATGATGGCTCATGCTAATTAATCCCAGTTACTCTGGTGGCTGAGGCAGGAGAATCACTTGACCCCGGGAGGTGAGGTTGCAGTGAGCCAAGAGGGTGCCACTGTACTCCAGCCTAGGTGACAGAGTGAGACTCTGTCTGAGATGCTTGTTCCCTCCAGTTGCTAAGACTCTATCTTGTTTTTCTTGCTCTCTTTACAAACTCAAGTTCCTTTAAAGATTCTTCACATTGATACAAGGAGCCTGCTTCCTCATTGCCATTTGGGTGCAGAGTTCTTCCTATCAGCCCTCTCATCATGCTCATCATACCTTGCTGCCAAGACTCTCTATGCTGATGACTCGAGCAAAACACGTTCCTCCGGTTGCAAAGAAGGCATTGTTTCTAAAGGCACCTGTCTCAGAGTTCTAGATGGATTATGACCCATGGAGGTCATTGAACTGTAAACCTGACACAGGTTTAACCTTCTGATGGAGCTTGGTTTTTGTCCCAGAAAAACTGTAAAGGAGAAAAACAGCAGCAATAAAGAACAGTTTATGGTGTAAAGAGAAGCAGGAGTGCTGGGTGGATGTTAGAAGACATGATTGCAAATCCCTGGCTGGCTATTAACCAGCTTAGTTTGATTTGGACAAATCACTGTATTTGAGCCTCAGTTTCTCTGTCAGATGCCTGAAAAACGAACTCAGAAATGCTTTCTTCAGAAAATTGCTCAAGTATCAAATGAGATAACATATAAGAAAGTAATTGTGGGATGAGCATTGTGGCTTACACCTATAATCCCAATATTTTGGGAAGCTGGAGTGGGAGGATCGCTTGAGGCCAGGAGTTCAAGACCAGCCTGGGTAACATGGCAAGACCTCATCTCTACAAAAAATAAAAAACCTAGCCGAGCATAGTGGCATGTGATAGTGGTCCCAGCAACTTGGGAGGCTGAGATCAGAGGATCACTTGAGCCCAGGGGGTTGAAGCTACAGTGAACCACATGCCACTTCACTCCAGCCTTCCAGCCTGGGAGACAGGTGGAGACCCTGCCTAATAATAATAAAAAAAGAACTGTGAATTACAAATCTTTGTTTATGGTGGCAGTTTTATGGTAGAGGGGTAAATCCTGTGGACGGATTGTTGTGTTTGGCCAGAAAAGTGTTTTTTGTTTAGTTGAATGGGAATGCCTCCAGTTTGTCACAGGCTTTATCACTCTTATCTTAATTCACCTGCCTGGCTGCTGAAGACAGATGTGTTTGTGTACCTTGCAAAAATGAGAAGTGCAATGCGTAGTAACACAACCACTTTACTGAGCGTGGCCTATGTGGTAGACACCATGTACTAGGTATTATGCTGGATGCTGGCCGATGTTCCTATCCCTGGAAGCTCTCAGCCAGCACATAAATTATAGCACAACTAAGTCCAGATGAACAGACACTTACCAAGTACCTGCTATGGGCTGACCACTGTTCTAAGCTCCTGGGATAAAAACTGTTCTGCTCAGAAAAAATTATTTGGTAATTAGGGAGAAAGACAGCAACTAACTATCTTGGGGGAGGCTGTTTAAGAGGAAGTAGGGGTATTCAAGAAAAAAAAGTAGCATTTTTGAGCCAAGACTGGGCCATGTGTAAGATAAGGCACTTGTCATGCACTTTCATCCTCTGAAAACAGTTATCAGAACTAGATATTGTTATCTTCATTTTGCAAAGGAGGGCGGCTCATGAGACTCGCCCAAGGCCACATACAATGGACAAAGCTAGGATGTGAATCCAGGTCCTTCTTAGTGGGCCTAAGCCCTCAGTATGCCCACTCTGCCTCTCCCAGGGATTACTGAAATAATGATTCATCACAATTGTTTTATTTCTGTTTGTAGGGTTTTCCCTCCCTCTGTGACCTTCCTTCCAAGGGAATTAATCTTAACCCTAAGTTTATTTACTATTAAAGTTACAACGAAGTACTTATGGATGCAAATAAATTTGTAAAACAAATGCTTATTTTCTCAAGAAAATTACCAGATTAACATTAATGACAAGACGAAACGATACGACTCATGACTTTTGTCCTGTTTTAAAGTCACCTTATGGCACAATACATCATGAAATCAATAGTTGTCCGTCTAGGAAATTTACCACTGGAGCTGTCTTCCACTGGTGTGGATATTCCAATTGGCCTCAGGTGGCTGTCTCTGCCATTTTGGTGACTGGCTAGAGTCCAGAGGTATTTTTGAAGATGGCACCTAGAATTCATAAAGCATGGCTAATTCTTCTGAGAAGAGATGGGACACAAACGTCAAAGAGGAGTCGTTAAAAACGTCAGGCATCTCTCTGTGCTCCTTCATCCTCTACGGAACTTCTCCCACAACAGGTCTCTGTCTCCGCATTCTTTCCTTCCGCCTGGAGAGTAAGCTTCCGGACGCTGGACGTTCGGTTGCCCGAGGGCTCCGACCAGCAGTGCACGCTGAGGCAGGCGGGCCGGAAGTTTGTTTGCCCTAGGGTTCCGACCAGCACTGTGTGCTGAGGCAGGCGGGCCCGGTGGTGCGTTTTGAATCCAGCAGTGACTAGCGCTGTTTAGAAAAGCCCGGGGCTCTGCTTCTCCACTGTAGGGTCTCATTCAGCGTAGACTCCCTAGTGGCGAACAACCCCGCCCTAACTCCCAGGTGAGTTCGACCCATTTCTGTTGCTATGCCAACCACAAGGCCCCGCCCCTTTACCCCAGGCTGCTTGGGATTGGCCTTTCCAGTGGGTCAAGGTCAGGGAAGGAGGGTTGCCAGGGATCAGGAGCAGCGCGATGGCCTTGGCTGTGGGCTTCCGCTTGTTTGCCTTTCTTCCTCTCTCTGGCTAAAGGTCACCTGGGGCTGGTTCAGACCGCAGGTTCTGGAATCTGCCACACCTGGGTTGGAACCTTCACCACCGTCTCCCATCGCTGCCACATCCTAGTGGGTTACCTGGGGCAGGTTTAGGTCTAAGCCTCAGATGTTTTCCTCAGATGTAAAAATGTGTATGAACAAGGTTATGAGATTTAGATGATAACCGCAGGCACTTTTTATTGTTCTTACAAAGTGCTAGGTGTTTTTCTGAGTGTTTTACATATGCTAACTTAGTTCATCCTCACAACAACCCTACAAGAGAGGTAGCTTTGTCATCCTACTTACAGATGAGGAAACCGAGGCATGGGAAAGTTACAGGACTTTCTCGACATCCAGTAGTTTGTAGATGCAGACCCATCAAAGCAGTGTGAGTCCGGGAAACATAGTTGGGTGGCTCATGCCTATAATCCCAGTGCATTGGGAGGCTGAGGTGGGAGGATTGCCTCAGGCCAAGAGTTCCAGACCAGACTGGGCAAAGATAGTGAGACCCCATTAAAAAAAAAAAAAAAAAAAAAAAAGAGGAGGAGGAGAAGGAGGGGGAAGAGGAGGAAGAAGAAAAGAAACACATGCCATTTTGGGACACAGTAGATATTTAATAAATTCTATTTATTCTTAATCCCATTAATATTATTGGTTCTGGTTTTCATGGCTTCCAAGAGTCACTTTGGAAGTGGAGTAAGACAAAGTATTTTTGTGAGAGTATGACTTAAGAAAAATATTTTTGGGCTGGCTGAGGTGGCTTGTGCCTGTAATCCCAGCATTTTGGGATGCTAGGATGGGAAAATTGCTTGAGCCCCAGAGTTCCAAACCAGCCTGGACAACATAGTGAGACTCCATCTCTACACAAGATAATTGCTGAAAATATATATGGTTTTGAACCTGGGTAAAGATAGTGTGATTGAATTCAATTTCTCTTTTAATGCTAGCTTATTAAGGCTTAAGATTTTTTTTACCACATTTTGCAGTTTACATTTTTATATACATTGTTCTTAATGATGAACATTAGTATCTTCTTGTAGGCTTCTTCTAGGCTAAAGTGAGCTAATATGTGTAAATTACTTAAACAAGTTCTTAGTACTGAGTATGCGCAGAATAAGGAAAGTATATATGGGGAGTGTTGAAGGTATGACTATGATTTCACCCGGTCCCTAACTTTAACATTACCTTGTGGGGCTGCATCTGTTCCCAAGTTGTCTAAGACCAGTTGAGGCAGTGTACATTTGTACAGTGTATTGCCAATTGCCAATACAAGAGTCAGGAGCTTCTTGAGGCCAGACTCCTTCTTCTTTTTTTTTTTTGAGACGGAGTTTCGCTCCTGATACCCAGGCTGGAGTGCAATGGCGCGATCTCGGCTCACCGCAACCTCCGCCTCCTGGGTTCAGGCAATTCTCCTGCCTCAGCCTCCCGAGTAGCTGGGATTACAGGCATGCGCCACCATGCCCATCTAATTTTTTGTATTTTTAGTAGAGACGGGGGTTTCACCTTGTTGACCAGGACGGTCTCGATCTCTTGACCTCGTGATCCACCTGCCTCGGCCTTGCCAGACGTCTTCTTGAGACCACTTTGCTATTAAGGAAAAAGTTCACAGAGGAGCAAAGCAGCTGCTGACCACCTGGAAGAGGTAGCCTGATGGGAGTCTGCTCAAAGGGGTTTGCAACCCCTTCTGAAATCTCTGTGGTGGGTTTTCTCAATGGAACTAACAGTGTTTTATATGTTAATTGCATATTAGAAATGGAAAAGATTTGATCAAAATAAGCAATAGGCTGCTAACTGTGATGCATAAGATACCAAAGCCAGACTCCCGGCATCAAATCCCACCTCCAACACTTACCAGTTGTGTATCCTGGGGCAGCTGCTTAACTTTATAAGGATTAAGTGAGTTAATACACATAATGCTTTTAGAGCAGTGCCTTGCACATGGCTGGATCTCAATAAATATTATGTATAATATATAAATACATATGCATGCAACGAAATTGTATACAGGAATCCTCCTAGTTACACAAACAATATAAGAGAAAAAAAAAGTCAGTCTTCTCCTTATTGTATCTGTGGTCTCTTAGCCCTGTTTTCCCTGTAATGTGACATTTTCATGTCTAACACTTTTCTTAAGGTGATGTTGGCTTAGCTGCTGAGTTGCCCAAAGGGCCTGTTCCTACTTGTATCATGAAATCAAGGACCTAGATGGTGGAGTAGTGAGTTGAGGAAATGAAGATGTGCTTCTTTTGCTTGCTTCTTTCTGCCCTGCTTCTTATGGCAATTGGCACAAAGAAATCTAATTCTATTCCTTGCCAAATTCATGCTTCCTTTTAGCTTACTGGTCAATGTGGTAGATGTTGTCCCTTAGGCAGGGGTCCCCAGAATGTGACTATATTTGGAAATAGGGTCTTTATTTTATTTATTTATTTATTTGAGATGGAGTTTCCCTCTTGTTGCCCAGTCTGCTGTTCAATGGCACGAGCTCAGCTCACCGCAACCTTGGCCTCCTGGGTTCAAGTGATTCTCCTGCCTCAGCCTCCTGAGTAGCTGGGATTATAGGCATGTGCCATCACGCCCCGCTAATTTTGTGTTTTTAGTAGAGACAGTGTTTCTCCATGTTGGTCAGGCTGGTCTCGAACTCCTAACCTCAGGTGTTCTGCCCATCTCTGCCTCCCAAAGTGCTGGGCTTATAGGCATGGGCCATGGAGCCTGGCTGGAAATAGGGTCTTTAAAGAAGTGGTTAAAATAAAATTATGGGTGGCCCCTAATCCAGTATGACCAGTGACCTTCCAAGAAGAAATGTGGATATAGAGGTACAGAGAGAAAACCACTGACAAGCCCAGGAGAGAGGCCCTAGAAGAAACCAACCCCGCTGACACCTTGATCTTGGACTTGTAGCTTCCAGATCTGTGGGGAGATAATTCCTGTTATGTAACAACTCTGCGATACTTTGCTAGGTATCTCTAGAAAACTATCACAGCCAGGGTGGGGCTCTAAGCAAGGCCGAGAGAGACCGTAGCATAGTTGAGGCTGGAAGCTTCAGGCAAAGAGGTAAGCGTAGGTTTAAGAACTTCGGGATTGCAAGGGGAAAGTCATTTTTAGATGCCTCTCTGGATGAAAACAGAAAATGGGTGGCGTGACTGCTCACTTTAAAATGAATTCTTCACTTTACAAATGACTCACTTGTTGTAGCCAAGAGATAGTTTAGAAGCCATGATAAAAATACTAGGGAATCAGAATGAAAGTCAGTGGAAAAGTATTATTTGTACTAGGAACATCTCCTTCACATAGAACGTTTTAGGGATGTGTTTACTTCAGGAAGGCAGACAACTGGGACAATGTACAAAAGATTAGATGGGGTTCCTGGAAGGAATTAATTGGAAGGGTCAGAATCACTGGTAGATGAGGGACAAGATTATTGTACTCATATCAAAGGGAAAAGGACATGCAGAACCTTGATTATGCGCTAAGTATGTTTACTGCCCCTACCTTTGAGTTTCATCTGTGTTTAAGTCATTTATTTATTTATTTATTTATTTATTTATTTTTGAGACAGAGTTTTGCTTTTTGCCCAGCTCACTGCAACCTCTACCTCCTGGGTTCAAGGGTTTCTCCTGTTCAGCCTCCCAATTAGCTGGGATTACAGGCTCATGCCACCACACCTGAATATTTTTGTATTTTTAGTAGAGACAGGGTTTCACTGTGTTGGCCGGGCTGGTCTTAAACTTCTGACTTTAGGTGATCTGCCAGCCTCAGTCTTCCAAAGTTCTGGGATTATAGATGTGAGCCACCATGCCTGGCCCAGTCTTTTTTTTTTTTTTTTTTTTTTTTAAATGCTATTTTTCCTGGAGATTTAGAGTAAGCAGTATGGCTAGGTTCTAGCATGGATTTGATAAACCTAGGCCAGGTGGATTGGTGAGGCTAAGGGGGTTGAGAGATCACCTAAAATAGATTTTGCCCTCTAGCCATCTTTTCCAGGGCTTAGCCACTGATGTCACATCGGACAGACAGACAGACAGACAGAACTTGCATTCACAGGACTCCCACTGAAGTCATTACCCTAGTGCTAGCTCTATAGGTCATCTACCTGCTTTTGGAAAGTGCTGAGAAGAAAGCCTTCCTTCTTTCTCCCCACACCCTCCCCCAAGTTTATACTATATATTTTAAAAAATGTTATTTTAAATGATCATACCATATGTGGGCAGAGGGATGAGTTTCCTTGTCTTAAATAGAATCACTTTTTTTTTTTTTTGAGACAGAGTTTTGCTTTTGTCACCCAGGCTGGAGTGCAATGGCAGGATATCGGCTCACCGCAACCTCTGTCTTCTGGGTTCAAGCGATTCTCCTGCCTCAGCCTCCTGAGTAGCTGGGATTACAGGCATGTGCCATCATGCCCCGCTAATTTTGTATTTTTAGGAGAGACAGGGTTTCTCCATGTTGGTCAGTCTGGTCTTGAACTCGTGACCTCAGGTGATTTGCCTGTCTCTGCCTCCCAAAGTGCTGGGATTACAGGCATGAGGCACCAAGCCTGGCTGATGATAATTTTTTCCAACAGCCTGCTCTTTCTTAAGGAGGTCGCCTTTACTGTCTATGGTGTCTACATAAAGATTTCCCTGGTGAGAGTGAATGAGTAGGTGCTTCACACTTAGAATAATAAGCACTGGGTGTGCTGCCCAGATCTCCCACTTCAGGACTGAAACTGGCAGTCTGATTGGCTGACAGCTCACACCTGTCTCCTCTTGCTTTCCCCCCAACCCTAGTGATGAGAAGCCACCTGTCCAAAGTCATGCCCCTTCACTAGAGGCAGCCAAAATCCAATGATGTGAGGTCTAAGGGTCCAGCCCCCTTGCTTTATTTTCAGATATCTCTGTAGGGTCATCCTAGCTTGAGGGCTCCTCTGGAGATGGGCAGAGGCCCTTGCTGTGACTGTGTTGCAACCCAACTTCTCCCTCTGCCTGAATCAGCAGCTTTGGCATCCCCACAGGTGTTGAACCCAAGATCACTTCCCAATAAATCTCCTGTGTGTAAGTAAATCTCCATCTCTGAGTCTGTTTCCCAGGAAACCCAAGCTGCAGTAATATTTTTCTTAAATATGGGTGTTTTATCATCCAGTCCAAAATGTCATATAGAGATGGAGTCTCTCTCTGTTGCCCAGGCTGGAGTGCAATGGCTTGATCTCGGCTCATTACAACCTCTGCCTCCAGGTTTCAAGTGATTCTTTTGTCTCAGCCTCCTGAGTAGCTGGGATCATAGGCACTCACCACCTTACCTGGTTAATTTTTATATTTTAGTGGAGACAGGGTTTTTCACCATGGCTGGTCTTGAACTACTGAGCTCAAGTGATCTGCCCCCTCCTCAGCCTCCCAAAGTGCTGGGATTACAGGCGTGAACCACTGTGCCCAGCCTTAGTTCTTCTGAATTTGTTGATGTTGGTTTTATGGCCCAAGATATAGTCTATTTGGGGACATGTTTCATGGGTGCTTGAAAATAATGTTTTCTGCTATTGTTGGGTGGAATAGTCTATACATGTAGATTAGGTCCTATTGGTTAATAGTATTAGGCTGGGAGCGGTGGCTTTAATCCCAGCACTGGGGGAGGCCAAGGCAGGAGGATTGCTTGAGCCCAGGAGTTTGGGGCCAGCCTAGACAACATAGTGAGACCCCTATCTATCTCTACAAAAAATGAGATAACATGAATTAGCCAGGTGCGGTGGCAGGTGCCTGCAGTTCCAGCTACAAGGGAGGTTGAGGTGGGAGGAGCACTTAAACCTTAGAAGTTGAGGCTACAGAGAGCTGTAATCATACCACTGCACTTCAGCTGGGTGACAGAGTGAGACCCTGCCTCAAAGAAACAAACACAAAAAGTATTCCTGAGTTCTTCTACATCCCTGCCAATTTTCTGTCTAGTTGTTCTATCAGTTGTTCAGAGATGGTATTGAAGTTTATGGCTATTATTGTGGATTTGTCTATTTACTCTTTCAGTTCTATCAGTTCCTGTTTCATATTTTGCAGCTCTGTTGTTTGTTGCACACACATTTAGGAAGCTATGTCTTCTGAATGGATTAACCCTTTTATCATTATGTAATGTTTTGCCCCATCTCCGGTAATATTCTTTACTCAGAAGTCTACTTTATTTGATATTAATATAGCAACTCCTGGTTTCATTTAATGTTTAGATAACATATATTTTTTTCTATTTGTTTACTTTGAATCTACCTATCTAATTATAATTGGAGTTTCTTGTAGACACATGTATAGTTGGATCATGTTTTTTAAAATCTATTCTGTGAATCTGTCTTTTAATTGATGTGTTAGGTCATTTACATTTGATATGATTATTGATGTGGCAGGACTTGTGCCTGACATTTTATTTTCTGTTTCCTGTATCTTTTGTTTTCTCTCTTGTTTTATACAGCTTCTGGATTTTTCCTAACTTCTTATGGGTTATTAAACTTAAAAAAAATTTTGTTTTGATTTATTTATAGTACATTTAAGTGTATCTTTGCATAGTATTTTTAGTCGTTATATATACATAACTTATCACAGTCTACTGGTATTGAAATTTTAGCAGCATAAGTGAAGCATAGAAACCTTACTTCCCCTTATGTCTTTTTAGTTTTTTTTTTTTCTTTTTGAGACAGGATCTCACTCTGTCACCCAGGCTGGAGTGCAGTGATGCAATCATGGCTTACTGCAGCC